TAATGAGTTGAAAGATATTTGATAACAATAAAATTTATTTTTTAACGTAGATAATTATTTATTGAATTTTTAATATAAAATATTTAAATTTTATTGACCTTCGTTTTGTAACAATGTTGTTAAATTTTATTTTTTATCAAATTGGAATTAACATATGTGGGGAAAAATTCTCATTAAATATAACTTCTATAATAATTCGAAATGTTTAATAACACGTAACATAAAATAAAAATATCAAAAAACTAATAGGTTTTATAGTTGAACAGTATTGTGCCGCTATTATATAACATATCGAAATAAAAATTACTTTGTTGTGACTTGCGGTTGTAAAGTTTTAAAGCTAATAAAAAGGGGATTAATATTTTTCACTTTATTTGAATGTTTCTCATTTTATTAACTTATGAAGTTCAGCACACTAGATATAAGATATATTCTAAGAGTAAGGATTATATGGGGCTTTCCAAAATAAGCGGTTACCAATGTTATAGGCGGAATTTAACACAATCATAATTTATATTGGAACCAAATTGATTTTTGGCTAAGAAATAGCTAAAGAAATATAAAAAAAATATTTTTTAGCGTCATAGGGTTTAATTATTTAAAATACTTAGATTAGAAAAATGAATAAAATATAATTTATTTTAATTTTGTTATGTTAGTTTAATTATATATATAGAACAAAACCGTCTGGATAAAAATTTTTTTTAAAAAATAATTAAAATTAGGAAATAATTATGTTGGTAGGAAGAGAAACGTTAGCTTGTTATATTACTTAGGACTGTAGAATTAGGGAGTTAAGGTAGTTTATTCGGGGGTGGACTGGCGATGCATTTGTGAGCAAGTTTTTCTATAAGCGTCTGCGCGGGTGGGCCTGGAATTACCCCTAGGGGTGACATACTTTTTTAAAATTTATAATTTTAGTTTTTATAAAAACAAACTTTTTCGAATAACTCTACCAAGAATTTTTTTTGTTATTTCTACCCTCTTTATAGATAACTATGCCGAGAAATAGTAACAAAAATATGGCGCAATATATAAGTGCAGAAAAAATAGTTCAAAGACCTCAGAGAAAGGATTTAAGCTTCAAATATGATGGATTTTTTTCAATTATACTTAATGGAAGAGAACATATGTTTCTAAATCTGAAGTTATTGCCAGAATTGTGTTATAGTATATTAGATACTACTGGAAACACCACAGGTATTGAATTAATTAAAGAGAATATGATTAACAAACTTAAAACAATTAATCTTTCTCGGATATTATGTTGGGCAGTTATAAATATTTATTTTTCCAAACATTCCAGAACAGGTGTTCTCGTTCGATCATTTTCTGCTTCGTTCCCGGAACTAAATATATAGAAGATTAAGAGAATTTTTTTTAAAAAAAATCAAAAAATATGATTAAGATTTTCTAGGGTTACGATTGAAAATTATTATAATTTACAACTTCATTTATATATATTATAAAGCCAATACTCTCATAATCGTGTTTAGTAGTAAAATCCTTTTTTTAAATTTATTTTACATTTATAATAAGAAAATTTAACACGAAACTTAAAATTCGCGATTACGATTTAATTACAATTTATTAAATTTTTTGAAAAAGGTCTTCACTTCATTAAATATTATATGGTTTATAGATTTTAAAAACTTAAATTGTCTATCAAATTACGATAAGTTATTTTATTTAATATTCAACCTAATATAAGCCTTACATTAAGCCGTCAAATGAACACTATCTATAATACTTTGATAATTTCAAAATTTTTATTATTAAAAATAATTTTCTAAATTGACATTGTAAATTTGGCAGTTCTGCTAATTAGTATTAAAATCAGGGACCCGGAGTGAACCAGATTGAACCGCGAAACCCTCATAACCGTAACCAAATGGATGTAATTATTTTTTGAAGGAGTAAAAAGAACCTTTATAAAAAAAATTAAACCGGTTTGAATCGGTTTCAGCCAAAATAAAATAAAATTTTACCTTTTTTACATTTTTTTCCTTATAATGTATTACATATTTTACCATATCTGCGTCGTTATTTATAATTATTATATGATTAAAATATTTGTTTAATATCCATAAAAGTATTATTAATTTTTCACGATGACTCAAATTGATCTACAATCTTTTAACTACATCATATAGTATTATAGCATTCCTATTTCCTATATTTTAGTATGCAAAATATCTAAATAACAAATTTTTGATTTAGTTGTATTTAATTAATCTAAAAAATCATCAGTTTTTATATTTTGAGAATCAAAAAAATTTGAATATCCAAAATTATATAAACTTGCACTTATAGAACTTACGGTTCCCGCAACACAAGTTTCTGTTAAAAGCAGGGGTTCGAACCGAACCGTTATAAATATTTTGGAACCGGTTTTAAAAATAATTAAATTTAAATTATTAACCTAAATTTAAAATTTTAATTTTCCTTGGAATTGGTGATTTCTTTTCAAATTAAATATTTCTATATTATCAACATTATATATCAAATTAAATATTTTTATATTATCAACATTATATTTCAAATAATACCAGGTTTGTTGTTTTTTCTTTAAATACTTAATTTATAAGAGATTAGACAATTTATCTGTTAATTAAATAAGATATCTTAAAATCATTAGTGACATATTAAAAGCTTTATATCCAGCATATGTTTTGACAAAATATTTACAAAGTGAACAATTGACAATGGGCGATTTTTATGCTGCGTGGATCAAATGTCTCATGCAAACGAGTAAAGTAGACACTCCATTTGCCAGACTTTTAGTTTCTACGATGAAAGCAAGAGAAATAAATTTCAAAAATGAAGTTTTTTGCTCTGCTCGACCCTAGATATAATGTATTTTTAACTTTTGAAGAAAGAGAGATCGCCAGAAAACATTTTTGTAAAACTTGGAACTTGATACAAAATCTAAATAATCAGAATATTGAAATTCTAAATACTATGCCTACGTGTTCGTATTCGAAGGATAATTTAGATGATGATTTTGAAGATTTATTAAAGTCGCATGAAAGTCTTAATAAGAATAATTCTCAGGGCATCGAAAATTATAATAAATGTATAGAAATAGAATATATAATTCGGTCATTTGATAATATAAAGAGATTAGAAAAAGATACTAATCTTTTGAATTATTGGGAAAATGTAAAGAATAGTATGCCAGAACTTTATAAGTTAGCTATAACTGTGCTAGCAGTTCCAGCTACGCAGGTCTCCGTAGAAAGAGCATTTTCAAGCCTTAAGTTTATACTCTCTGCGCAGAGAACTAAATTAAATCCTGAAATATTAGAAAATATTTTAGTTATCCGTTCGAATTCTCTTTTTAAACCTAAATAGTATAGTATACATATTATTTTATTCATTATTGTATTTACGCATGTTTGTTTTTATCTTATTTATTTATGAAATAAAAAAAAACTAATTTGTCTAATTTATATTTCCTAAATTTAATAAAAATATCTATTAGATTATCATGGATAAATTAAATAAGAAATTATAAACTAAAAAGATTTTTCTCTAAAATTAATATATACATGGTTAATGATTAATTTTTTTTTAAAATTAAATTTATAAAAACCGGAACAAACCGAAAAGAACCGTTATAAATTATAAACCGAACTGAACCGATATGATTTTTTTTTAAAAACCAAAATGGAACAAAACCTTTATAAAATTTTAAACTAAAAACCGGAACGAACCGAACCGTTATACTAAACGGTTCGAAAAAGGGCCTTTTAGGGACTAAAATTTGTGTTATAGCCACAACGAACAAATATATATCAAATGAGTTATGATTCTTATATATTATTTTATTCATAGATACTTATATTAAAAATAAATTAATTTCATCCATTTTATAAATAAACATTAATATTAACTTAAGTGATGGCAAAAATTTTAAGAAATAATATTTATAATTTAAAATGATTATACGATGGTGTTGCTTCAATAAAAATAATTTGGAAAAAAATTTATAATCGTAATGAACCTTTATGAACTTTTACAATTAACTGAACCGAACCGAAACTTTATAAATTTTTTCTTAAAAATCATAACCCAACCGTAACCATAATAATTTTTTACATACTGAACCGTTATAAATAAAGGTTCGGGTCCCTGAAAATAAATGCGAGAAAATTTGGAAAAAATAATAATATGATTATATTGTTTTGCTATGTATTTGATTTCGTGTCATTTGAGTTTTCTCGAACACCTATTAACGAAATCTCGAGGCTACAGTTAGTTTTCACGTTGTGGTTTACGGTTCGATTTTTTAATTTGAAAATTGGTTCCATAATGAATCGTGATCAGTACAAGTAATGCATATGGAAGCATGGGCGTATCCAAGATTTTCTAAATGGAACTTTTTGTTGGCTTTAACCATAAATTTTATTGAAATATTTTACGCGTCTTTTGAAGGCGTATTACATTTTTTTAAAAAAAATATTTTGGGCTTTCACTAAAAAAAATTTAATTATATAGTCACTATTTTTTAAATTATTTATACCTTTTTTAAAAAAAAATAATGTCTATAAATTGACATACTGTCAGGTCTCTGTCCCTAAATTCGCCGCCATTCGGCAAAAATTTGACTTGTTAAAAAACACAATAAAAAATTCGCCTCTAGACTTAGTGCATGTTTCATGTAATGTCATTCTAGTTCTCATTTTATATACAGATTTAATTTTACTTTTTAAAAATTTTTATTATCGATTTTCCGCCTTTTGTTTGCCACATTGTATTGCCCTGAGCTAATGTCTAACTAAATATTGTACTCATGGGGAAAAAGAGTGAGGGGAAGTGTGGGAGAAGGGTAATTATTATTAGCTTAAAATGATATTTATAAGCTGGCAAATTATACAAAATGCATCGAAATTATTTTTAATAGCACATTCAATTTAATATATTTGCATAGAATTTATTTTTTTTAAAAATGCAACCGTTATTGAAGTTTCATAGCATAAAAAAAATATTTCAATTACCTGATCAATTTTAAAGTTTTTACCGAATTGATTATCAACTATTACTCGATTCCAGAAATTTTCATATTTTTCGTTTACAATTGGCATGATATTCAGTTATGGAATTTATAACATTTCTATGCCTATATTAACGAGTAATGACATAAAGTTGTTCCATAATTGAAAATTAAATGTAAATCTACATATGTTCTTTTCTAAATGAGAAATTTGAAAATAATATTAATTTTAATTATGATGAAAAATAAAAAAATAAAATGAATCATATGATAATTTTGAAAAAATATTTTTTTGTAAGTCAGCTGTTATACAAATAAAAAATAAAATTTTATTTAAAGTATATTTATTATATTTTTAATTAAAAAATATTCTCGTAATACTATAAAATTACTTATACATTTCTAAAAAACATAATTTAAAATTAATAGTTCTAGTGTTTGTGGTTGAATGGGTTTATTTGCATTTATTAAACCATGTATAGCAATGCTATTGCTCTGATGAATCGCTATATAATCAGTGGCGTAGCCAGGATTTATCCATGGAGGGGGGGGGGTTAAAAAAATTTTTTTTGGGGGGGGGGCTCCGCCCCCAAACCCTATTTCTATTTTGCTAATATTATGTGCTTTATTTTCTGGCTAAAATATTGAGTTGGCCATTTTTAAAAATCGGCTCAAAACGAGCCGTTTAACAACACTACACTATAGTAGCCAGCATAAATGAAAGAATATTAGTAACAGAATTTTGGCCAAATTTATGATTAATAAGCGGCTGGAAACATTATTCTAAAAATTTTATCAATGTTTAATAAATTGTAAATTAATCCACCCAGAAAAAATTTGCCCACCCCCCCCAAACCTTCCATTTTTTATGATCACTCAATATATCTAATTGAGTGTTAAAAATAATTATTTTAATTAAATTTTAGAGAATTTCATTATAGATCTTATTGTTAAAATACTATAGTATAAATAACATCCCTTATTTATTTTAATGATAAAATAAAATACAATAAAATAAATTTTAAAATGTAGAAATTTTATATAGATTATTTTTTTTTAAATAAATAATATTATATATTTTTTTTTGTCTTCAGAAAAAAAAATTTTTTTATATAAATTTTATCAAAAAATATATATATTTTTGGGTAATTAATATTAATATTTATATAACAAAAATAGTATTATATATTATAAAAATTTGGGCGCGTGAAAATCACTAATAAATTGTAACAAAAAAAGATAATATTACAATACAACAAATAAAAAATATTAAATTATAACATTTCTTGATATTGTACATAATCGAAAAAAATATATATATATATATAAGATATTTAAAACATAAATGTTTAATTATAACGAAAAAATATTTTTTTTGTGGTTAAAATCTAAATATAGTTGCGATGCAAAATATAAATAAAATTAACAAAAAAGTTTTTAATATAAAACAAATGACTATATTTGATAAACTAGGAGGGAAATGGGAGTGTTTCGAAGAAACATTTGTAGTTCCCCTTTAGGATTTCAAATTGGACTTTTTGTTTAAGAAATAGGGACTCGTTTTTGACCCCTGTCCTTAACGAAATTCTTCTACCCAATTTATTTAAGAACTTTAGGGATTGGGGACGGGGGTTTCCAAGTACGCTAAAAATTAGGGGAATAAATATAAAAGGGTTAGGGAGGAATCTATATTTATTAAACTTATTGGTTTCTTGAAGTTCCAAGGGGTCGGTATTTTCGTTAGCCGGAAAGGAGGTAACACAAGAGACGTCCCAGACAAGTCTTTTGCCGCCGTGCCAAGACGTTAAAGACATGCCGTCAGGGCACTTACCGTCAGCATTTAGGAGACCTAATGGCTCCAAACTATTGGGGAAACCGGCCGAAATCAAGGCTTTGCCGATTAACCTATTAAGGTTGTCGTGCCTCAGGAAACGGCCACTGACTTTGAGGCACGAGAAACAATGTCTAGAGAAAGGATCAACCTGTTTGTGACAGGCAGCACAGGTGTCCACAGAAGGGATAAGGCAACCAAGCCTATGGCCAATGGCAGTTTGAAACTCATCGTCTGTGATTAACGTTTCCTTTTTACCACTCGTCGCGTCTAGCCATTCATGGCCGTTAGAGTTTTTTTTTGCGTTTCTGAGCAGTTGAAGGTTAGTTAGATCGGGATACATGCAAAGTTTTTCAAACGAGCATTGAAGCATAGGGACCAGGGAGCTCTTTAGATGACTGGAAATTGGCTGCTCGGAGCCTTGGGTGATTAGAGTAAGCCACTCTTGTTTAGCTGAAGATAGAAGGGGATCGTCCAACTCCGAGATGAAAGAAAACACGTAATTGCCATAAGGAAGGGGGGTGAAAATCCCAGTCCACCCCGGTAAGTGGGCATAGAGGCGAGGGACCAATTGAAATCGGAAAAATTTAAGCCTAAAAGGGATTCGATAAAATGTTTAAATTTTAATTCGAGACCTTAAGGAGAGTATTGTACTGGAAAACGGGGGATGATTTAAATAAATGCAAGAATTTCGGTAGAAAAAGACATTTTTTGGTGAGAAAGAAGAACTGATGCTTGGGGAGATGAGGAAGATTCTTGAGTGAATTGGAAAGGGACTGGATCAAATCGTCAAAAGTTTTTTGACAAAAGGAGGTTGAAAAACCGATAGGGGAACCTAAAAGACAGAGTTCCTCGTGCGGAATGATTGTAAAATCTAAGGGAGGAATAAAATCCTTATTGTTGAGGGAGGAAATTTCACACTTTTTCCTATTTAGGGAAAGACCAATTTTCGAAGCTTCCATTTCAACGTACTCTATGGCCGACATAACCAGGGTTTCGAACCGTTTAGTATAACGGTTCGGTTCGTTCCGGTTTTTAGTTTAAAATTTTATAAAGGTTTTGTTCCATTTCGGCTTTTTAAAAAAAATCATATCGGTTCAGTTCGGTTTATAATTTATAACGGTTCTTTTCGGTTTGTTCCGGTTTTTATAAATTTAATTTTAAAAAAAATTAATCATTAACCATGTATATATTAATTTTAGAGAAAAATCTTTTTAGTTTATAATTTCTTATTTAATTTATCCATGATAATCTAATAGATATTTTTATTAAATTTAGGAAATATAAATTAGACAAATTAGTTTTTTTTTATTTCATAAATAAATAAGATAAAAACAAACATGCGTAAATACAATAATGAATAAAATAATATGTATACTATACTATTTAGGTTTAAAAAGAGAATTCGAACGGATAACTAGAATATTTTCTAATATTTCAGGATTTAATTTAGTTCTCTGCGCAGAGAGTATAAACTTAAGGCTTGAAAATGCTCTTTCTACGGAGACCTGCGTAGCTGGAACTATACATTATATCTAGGGTCAGCAGAGCAAAAACTTCATTTTTGAAATTTATTTCTCTTGCTTTCATCGTAGAAACTAAAAGTCTGGCAAATGGAGTGTCTACTTTACTCGTTTGCATGAGACATTTGATCCACGCAGCATAAAAATCGCCCATTGTCAATTGTTCACTTTGTAAATATTTTGTCAAAACATATGCTAGATATAAAGCTTTTAATATGTCACTAATGATTTTAAGATATCTTATTTAATTAACAGATAAATTGTCTAATCTCTTATAAATTAAGTATTTAAAGAAAAAACAACAAACCTGGTATTATTTGATATATAATGTTGATAATATAAAAATATTTAATTTGATATATAATGTTGATAATATAGAAATATTTAATTTGAAAAGAAATCACCAATTCCCAAGGAAAATTAAAATTTTAAATTTAGGTTAATAATTTAAAATTAATTATTTTTAAAACCGTTTTGAACCGGTTTAAACCGGTTCAAAATATTTATAACGGTTCGGTTCGGTTCTTTTAATATTTTCTTCATAACGGTTCGGTTAAGGTTACGGTTCAGAAAATCATAACGGTTCATTCCGGTTTTGCGGTTCGGTTCGGTTCTTTTAATATTTTCTTCATAACGGTTCGGTTAAGGTTACGGTTCAGAAAATCATAACGGTTCATTCCGGTTTTGCGGTTCGGTTCGGTTCGAACCCCTGGACATAACGTTGGATAAAGAACCGCCAAAAGAGCTATCTTAGACTTTAAAAATTTGATCAAATCATTTGAATCCCTATAGTAAAGAGCAGGGGGCCTAGTGGATCACCTTGCTGTATCCCCTCTTCGGAGGATATGGAAAATTCCCCGAATTTGAGTAACGAAGGGAATCCATAACAGGAATTAATGAAATTCCCATATTTTGGGAAATGGTGTAAAAAAGATGGTAAGAATGCTCTCCTATGGATGGTGTTGAAGGCATTTCTGAAGTCTAACTTGCAGAAAACCTTATCGGCCTCAGTATTTATAAAAATATGCGCAACATGAGAGGCCACTTCGCACCCACCTCTCACTCCAAATCCTAACTGTGAAGGAAATAAGAAAGAACCTATTTACAATAGCCTTGGCGACTAAACGACGAAAGAATGACCCTATGGCTATGGGTCTAACGCCGCCATCCGGTTTGGTCAAGGAAACAAGACGTGCGCCAAAAATAATAGGACGAATGCAAAGGGGAACTTCGCGTACGAGGATATTATTGCAAAGTTCGGTTAATGCTTTCAACAAAGGGTCAATGAAGCCACTATCAGAGAATTGAATTAAATCCACAAAAAAACCAGGTCTGAAGCCGTCCAACCCACCTGTCGTCCCTTTTTTAAAGAACTTTAAGCACTTAAGTACTTCGTCACAGGTAAGGGAATAATTTATTGTATATAACTATATTTAAAAAATATAATTCAATAAAATATAAGTAATTCTTGTAACGTATTTAAAAAAATATAATTTAACAATAAATGAATCTTCATATTGCAAATGCAATACTTTTATTAAAAATAGGCAGAGAATCTAAAGTGCAATTACACATGGAAAGGGCCTGCAAAGTGCAAAGCGTTTTTTGGTCTCAAAGAGTATTCTATTTTATCAAGATTTTATATCAAAATACGACATCACAAAGTAACATATCATGCGATCCTGATAAATCATCAGATAAAATGAGATTTTCTTATTATCCTCTCGCGTTTCAAGTGTAATCAACAATTCAGACTCAACAGGCAGAAGAAAATAAAAGCTTTTTAAAATAAAATTGTGACTAATAAATCTTTCGTTTAATTGAAATAAAAATGTATCAATAAGGGGAATAAAATATTTATTTTATAAAAATCCTCAATCGTAGATGCATC